CTGGGCGCGAATGTTCACGGGTATGTTTTACACACTCAGAGGTTCACCTGAACTGGACCTTTGCAATGAATGCAGCTGCTAGCCCTAGAACTGGCACTCCATGGGTGTACACTCAAGTCAGTGGTCAGTCGGTGTAGGCTTTTTAGCAAACACAAAAACCACACATCAACAGGACTGACCCAGAGTTTCCAACCCAGAGTAAGAGACTTGAGGTACACCTTGGCCCACAATGCCAGAACGGCCAGTTAAGAAGGGGGTTCTCTCAAGAACCACTCGTGAGGCCAGATGACAGCCTACCTAACAGCACCAAGAAATAGGCTACAGTTTTGCAGTGGATCGGGGTCCCTGGAGGAATCCCCTTGAAAATCTCCCAGGATGATCCGGAACTCTGACAAGTGGGCTAGGTCCGAGGCAGAGACTACGGGGGCACTAGAGGGGTGCGGGGAAGAAAGCAGACACTCCCTGCCAATCCTGGAGTTTCACCAAAATTCAGGCCCTTTCAGCTATCATCAAGTGAAGCCAATGGCATATAACCCTTTGCTTGGAAACCAGGAGTTTCACTTCCTACATGCCCAGAGAGCCATGTAGCCTAGAGAGCCCCCTGAACCCAACAATTGCCTTTTCTTTCAAGGACACTCCTGTACCTGCTCATTGCCTATATGGAGCTAAAAGCTCATGACAGCTGTTTTTTTTTTTTTTAAATGCAGCATATAATCTATATTGTATTTTAACTCAAACAGCCAATCTCCTATTGATTTTAATGAAGCTAAGAGGACATTTCTAACCTCTTGACTGGTTACAGGGATTTTGTTGTTGCTGTACCTTTAGAATATCATCACATTTTTAAATCCGGTCACGCCTCTAAGAAACTCAGGGCAGCATACATGGGTTTTATGGGTTTTATGTCCTCACAACAACCCTGTGTGGTAGGCTAGGCAGAAAGATGAGAACGTACCCAAGGCTACCCAGCGAGCACTGGAGTATAAACCCACAGATCCTTCATTAAAGTTCAACACCGTGCCCACTGTGTCCCACTAACATGTGTTCAAGATTCTGTCTGCCACCACGAAGTCGAGAAATTCTGTTAAGTACGCCAAGAGTCTCTGGACGGAACAACTCCTGAGAGACAGGGACTTGAAAGACGAAAGGCACATGGGTCTGCGAGAGCATCATGCACATTAGCAGCATAGGCTAAGCTTTGAACAGAGCTTACTGTGAACATCAGGAACAACCCCCAAGTACACCAAAATGCAAGCCCTCCCCCCCAAAAAAAACCTTGTACTTGAGTGTATACTTCTACATTTTTAAAAAATGCAAATGACCCCATGTCCTTTGAAGTTATTCATACAGTTAAGACTTAAACCTTGGTTCCATGGATGCTCATGGGGGGTTTCTCACTGGTTACGACTCCACTATCCCTATCCTAGACTACAGTCACCTTTGATTTCAGAAGCTAAACAAACCATCTTCTGGAATCAAACCAGTTCTTAAATTTCTGACAACAGATAATATTTTCCCCGTTTAGATGCACCAAGATGTCAGTTCCTCCCTTCCTCCGCATTCTGGACAAACCAGAAAATCACGGCCTCACTTCCGTTTAGGTAGTTTGCAATGGGGGGGGGGGGTAATAATTTAAAACTGTCACATGAAAAGGTTCTCCGGGGAGCCGAGATTTTAAGAAAGCACCAAATATATTATTTTCATTAAATATTATTTACCAAAAAAAGGGATATTTCACAGGGTAACGCTCAGCGTGGTTTGCATATATTATCATCTGAATAATTTTAATTTATACATCGACACACACCCCAAGACTCAATTAGTTGCCCCCAAAGAGGAAAAGAAGTGAAAAAGATCATCTTTCCAAATTCTGGTAAGCAGGAAGGAGTCGGGGCCTCTGACTGTGACACCGTTCTGCTGTCCTGTTGTAAGATCACTGGGAAATGGGGGTGGTGGTTTGTATTTCCACCCCAAAATTCGTAAAACCTATCTGATCTGCTCCTCAGATGCAGAGGGCAACTGCTGGTCCTATTTCGGCCACGATCTTTGGAATGGAACAGCACCTCCACACTGGAGACATCTCTCTGCCTCCCAAGCATCCCTCCTCAGGCTAACACGGCATTTTCACAAATCCAGGGCAAGGGACCGTGTTATCTGGTTACGCTGTGAGCAGAGACGGTATCACCAAGATGGTTTCAGAGGGCAGCCATCTTGGTCCACAGCACAACAGATAGATTCAATTGACTCTTGGAAGTTTATACCCCCAAAATCTTGTTGGTCTCTGTGCTGCTACCGGACTCGAATCCAGCTGTTATGCAGGCAGGGGCGGCTTGCAGTGTGACCCTCAAAGCAGGTGAATGACCATCCTGGACCCAAGGACTTCTCAAAGACTGCATCTGAACTCTCTTTAGGGCAGCTACCTCAGCCCATGACAGTTAGGAGGGTTGGTGAACGCCAATCCTGTTACAAGCACGCAGCCCAAGGACGGGCAAGCCAGCAGCGGATCCGAGCGTCATTTAAGAAGCACTTGCGGTTTCAGTACATAGAGGGGAGGACGGGCGGTTAAATTTCAACAGGTTGGGAAGACAGAAGCACTCTCTGATATCACTGCCCCATAGCCTTACAAACGCAAACCGCTTTGGGTGGGAGGGGGCTCTCTTGCTAGGGGTGGGATGGAAGAGACAGAGGTGGCAGTCAACAGCTCTGCCTTGAACCCAGGACCTGGTATTTCAAAGCCATCTTGGTCCCAAGGAGCAGCAAGAACAGCACAGCAAAGGCCTCCTGTGCCTATCAATGGGCAGGATACCTTCTGCTGAAGGCAGAGCCTCTCGGGTGGAATGAGCCTTCCGCCAGTGGAAGAGTCTCCCGCCCTGGAGGAAAGCGCTGCATCTGGCAGAACCGAGTCACGGCATCTAACCCACTGGCTTTTGGTTCTCACTAACGGGCAGGCCTACACTCCAAAACAAACCCCATGGAGAACAACGCTGAGCAGTCTGTACAACAGGAAGCCTGAATTATCCAAATACCAACTTTCTGGTGAGCCACACTTTACGGACGGGGCTGGGGTGAAGAAGGCAGTCAATAATTCCATGCTGCTGAGTCTATTAGGCCTAATCACCCCCTTGGAGGGAATGACCTTGACCCACTGAAACCTGTTCAACACCAAGCTCCCTGGACTTCAGAGACCAAATGGGGGGGGGGAACAGGATTTAGACTTGTGGGCTTTAGAATGCTCTCTGTTAACTTCCTCAAACACTTTTTAGAATCCTCCAATCCTCTTGTTTTGCTGCCAACCTGAGTACTATGTTCTCTATGGGAACAGAAATCCCACCACTGGGTGGGGTTGCCAAGTCCCTCCTGGTGGGGGACGACTTACCAGTGAAATATCCCCTTGGTGGGGGGACATGACGGTGGTGGGGGTAAACCTAGGCTGGCGACACCGTGACATCGCCAGCAACACAGCTCCTGACACGCACAGGAACGTACATCTGCATGTCGCCAGCGATGCACTGATGTCACTTCCTGTGCATGCCAGAAGTAGCATCACCAGCCTCGGCCTTCCCCTACTGCCGGTCAGCTGATCGGCAGCAGGGTTTCCCCCCACCCTCAGCAGGGGTCTGGCAGGCCCCACCATTGGGCCCCAACAATCATTAAGACCAACTAACACTTCCAGAGGGAGTCAAGAGGGGTCTGCCAAACAGATGAACTTGCATGACATAGATCCATCCCATTAAACACACTGGAGACTAAGCCACTTCCCTGCGGAACAGGGAATCATTGCTCTTTGATAAGCAGCGATCACCCCTCGGGGCTCCAGGCTCATTCGGTCCTTTAAATCTGTCTCGATAGTGGTCAGCGAACAGACTGGATGGATGCAAAAAAGGGCTGCCCAATATGTAATACCCAGTTGTCCAAAACACAGTTGCTGCAAGTTCTACAGGAAGGGAGTGCTGCAGGAGTTTCCTGCAACCCTACACCCTTACCCACCCCAATTGGGGAGGGGGCAGGATTGGCAACACTGCAGACAGAAAAAGGCCAGTCAAAACATGAGGATTCCTCCTCTACTCAGCTTCCTGGAAAAACTGATGCCCTGGATAGCAGAAGTGCCACTGAGCCACAGTGGGTCGCAATGGAGTAATTTGGAGGTCCGCTCGAGAATTCACAATTTTTAATCACACCTCCCATAGCATGATAGTTTTTTTAAAAAAAATTACAGAACCACCTTCTCCTGTTCTGAGTCATGATCCATTGTGATTGTTATGACATTTTTAAATGTCCCTGGCATAGAAAAAGAGTAAATAAGATTAAGACCCCTTTAGAGTAGTCGGCGGGGGGCTCAATAGGACAGGACAGCACCCAATCCAGGAACCCCCTTCTAACGCAAGTCAAACACTTGTCCTCCCGTGCAAACAGAGAGTCAGGCAAAGGGCTCCTTAAGGGCCCTTCCAATCCCATGTGAACAGCAAAGAGGCTTTGGCAGAATTTTTTCCCTTTTTCCCTCCACTGACCAAGTCCCTGTGAGAGGCCAAGCACACAGGATATGAGAACGAGCAGCTGGAGGTATTTAGAGGGAGATTCTCTGCCATTTACACTGAGGGAGGGAGGGAGGGAGGGAGGGAGGAAAATGTTAATGAGCCCTTTGTGAGTACTAGGGCGGAGCCACTACAGGAAAGACCCCGCAGTCCTCTCTCGGTCCCTAATGTGCCCCCCCCACTACTACAACTGAGCTGCTGATCACACTAACCCCATTAGGCTTTGAAATATATTTTTCTCCCCACCACAAGCCACACTCCTCACCTCCCCTGTTTGCATTGCAACCGTCAGCACAGACGCAGTTGGCCATAAAAGTCTGCACAACTGGCCATAAGGTTCTTTCTCATATGCAGTTAACAGCGAAATTACTGGATCCCCAAGCACTCAAGAGTGGTTGTGATGCAGAGGGGAAGGGTCCACAAAGACTGCCTCATCCTTTCATCTGCAACCCCCCCCCCCACGAAAGTATTTTGCTTCGACAGAGACTTTGCAACTCCCTTGGGTGTTTCAACACCAACCTCTCCCGGTACGCAGAATGGGTTTGCATCTCCAGACACGGCAACTGGGCGTGACCAGCAGTGTGGATTCGCAAGACCAGCATCCTACAGGCCCCTCCACTGGGAAACAAGGATGAGGATACAACAGAGCAGAGCCGTGAGATCCACAGAGGCCATAAGCCTTCCCTCTCAAGACTGTTAGTACAAAGGGGGGAAAATCCCAAATGAATTCAGAGGGATGCGTCTAGCAGGGAGATCTAGGGCTACATACGGTGCATTTCTGTTGGCTGAATTTTTGGAGCAGCAGTTTAGAGATGCAGAGAGAAAACAGCCATGAGGTATATTTTGACAGTCCGCACATTTCAAGTCATGGTCGACCAAGGTTTAAGCTGAAAACAGAAAGGGCAACTGGGGCCCTGCTTCACCATCAACCTGCCTCGTCTCCTACCCACAGGATGAGACCCTTGGACAAAAACACCCCCCCACACACACACAACCCCCAAAGCCCACCTTCAGTTTGTGCCAAGACTTCGGTTGTGAAATGGTTATGAGCACTGGATTTGTTCCTTTAAAAAAAAGGGGGGGAAATTAAAAAAGACACACCAATGCCAGAATGGGCAAAGAAAGAGAGGGGGAAGGGAATCAGTTCAACTCACAAAGAGATACAAAGCAAAGAGACAGAAGTTTCAAGGCTGGCCACTGGTTAAGGGTGGAGGCGGGGTGCGAGGGGTGAGGCAGCCCCCAAACCGCCCCAAATGCATGGAACCAAGCGTTTTTTCACACAGTCACTCTTCTCAGTCTTGGAGATAAATGTTCGGTTGGATGGCATTCTCTCTCGAGTTACAGGCATGCTTCTTCTCTTGGTTCAATCCCAGCCGTTATCCTTGATCATGTGAGCTAATTCAATGATGTATTTGCCTTCTTTATACTTTTGACTGCTTTCAAACGCATGTTCCTAAAAACGGACACATAAAAAAAATTAAGGTGGCATCATTAAGAAAGGGAGGAAGGGTTGCAGAACTCACTGCCACAAGACATAGGCACAGTAGCTGGCTTGGGAGGTTTAACTAGGCCAGTGCATGGAACATGGGTCCATTAGTGGCTAAGTGGAACCTCCTTGTTCAAACGCAGTGTACCTCTAAATATCAGTCGCTCAGAGGAAATAAAGGGAGTCATCAGCCACAACTGAGGCCTGCCTGGAAACATGGCTATCTTTCCTGAACTCTGAAGAAGTGTGCGTGCACACGAAAGCTTATACCTTGAATAAAACTTCTGTTGGTTTTACAGGTGCCCCCCTGGACTCAAACTTTGTTTTTCTGAACTCTGAATATGTAGTGACAGGTGCCCAGTGCTCACTGGGGAAGGAAAAGGCACTCTGTACATGCCTAGAGGTATTTTTTTATTATACAGCATTTCATATCTTTCTTTTAACTTTTTAAAAAAAATTATTTGATTTTAGTAGAAATAATTCAAGTTTAAAAGACAGACTCATGATCAGTAATGCAACATATAGCCAATAACGTGACATATATTATTTTAGAAAGAAGAGAGGACAGCCCTCAGAATTCCCTCCCTCTCAACATCAACAAAGAATTTGGCTGAACTATGGATGCAAATACCCCTGAGCGTAAAAATCAAAAGAAACACACTCTGTACAAATCTGAACCCTGTGTGGTCTTTAGTTTTGTGGCACTACTGTATTCTCCTTACTGTTTTATTGTGTGCATTATACACACACAACACACAACAAACCTTTATTGGCATAACAACAGTGGCCTTCGTGTGCATTGTACTGTTTCTGGTGGGCTGTTTTCTTAGCTCTCTAAAGCACTTTTATTATGCTGTTGGTTGTATGCATACATTACACTACTCTCATTGAGTTCTTTTCAAGCTGCGTAATCTGCTCTAAGTCTCAGCGACAAAGGTGGCAAAATAAAGCCAACAAATAAATAGTATTTATTCTAAAGAAAGGGAGATTTTATTGACTGTGGTATTTGGTTCATAAAGACCAGCCCAGTGGCTCTTTGGGAAAACGACAATAGCAAGTTTGGGATGAAGTACTGGGCCTGAATGCAGGAGACCCCAGATCAAGTCCCCGATTGTCCAAGTTGCTTATTTCTCAATGAGGACAGCAGAGATGAGAGTAACAGAATAGGGTGTACACTGAAGAACGCAGTAGAAATCAGTACTACAATGGCTCTCTCTCTTGCAGGCCATTTAGGGGCGGAGTTTCCCCCACTGGCCAGCTGGTCCACAGTGGGGAGAAGCCACCGAAACTGGGGGATCCCCCTCTGGCAACCCTAATGCACAGGGGGGACAATGTGTTAGGCCAAGAGGCCATGGCTCAGTGGTAGAGTATCTGCTTGGCATGCAGAAGGTCCCAGGTTCAATACCTGGCATCTCCAACTCAAGGATCAGGTAGTATGTGATGTGAAAGACCTCCACCTGAGACCCTGGAGACCTGCTGCCAGACTGAGTAGACAGATGGTCTGATTCAGTATATGGCAGCTTGATGTGTGTGTGTGACTAGTGGTCAGCATGAACGGAGCATGCACTCAAAAGACATGCCCCGGAATCCTCTGCAGTGAGCAACTGTCCATGAAGTAGCTGGCGGTGGGAGTTGGAATGAGGACTGGTTATTCGACTTCTGATTGTCTTTAATATTGTACTAATGTTTTAATTAATTTTATCTTGTTTTATCTCTGGTTGTACATCGCCCAGAGCCCTGCAGTGGCAGGGGTGGGGCAATTCATAAATTAAATAGATAAATAAATAAATAAAACTATGCCACAGTAAAACAGATTCGAGTCCAGTAGCACCTTAAGAGGCCAACAAGAGTTTCAGGATATGAGTTTTCGAGAGTGAAAGCTCCCTTATACCCTGAAACTCCAGGTGGGCTCTAGTGTGCTACTGGACTCAAATCTAACAGTTTCACTGCAGACCAACGTGGGGGCCCTCTGAAACGACGCCATAGGAAAGGTACGGGTGTAACTCAACGGAAAAGTTAACATGAAAAAAGCTTCCTGGAAGTCTTTTTAAAAATCTGAACGCTATCACCCTAATTTTAGACACTTTTTTGCAAAGCCGGGGTCATTTCCTGCAGGAGCGCAAGGGAGCGGAGCTCCAGCAGTAAAGAGCCCAGGGGGCGGGCACATGCAACAAGCCCCACCCCCTGCTCCCAGCAGCCCTCAGTCAGAGCAAGAAGCAGCCAGGTAAGTTGCAGAGCTCCCCCTGGCCCAAAACAGTCCAGTGGCACCTGTAAGACTAAGTTTTATTCAGGTACAAGCTCTCCCTCCTCTGCGAGGACAGATTTGCACGTCCCCCCCCCCCCAATAGCCAGCAATCCAAAACAGTCCAGTGGAGCCTGAGCGGTGGGTGTTGCCTTCTGACACACTTCCGGTGACGTCAGGGGGTGTGGCATATGCAAATAAGTTATGCTAATGAGTTATGCTAATAATCTCCATCTCTTTTTCTACGAAATGCAAAGCAAATGGGCAGCTGTTTCTCAGTTCTTAAGGTGAACCCAGAAATGGCTGAGGCAGTGGCAATTCATCCATACTGGGGCCCCCTGCTCTGCCCAGCTTTATTCAATCAACGCTGGCTTTCTCACCCACCCATTTGCTCTGTACCGTTTCCATCTATGGCTACCCACAACCAGAATCCCTCGGGACTTCTAATGGTGCAGCAGATGCTATCAAATGTCTTTAGCCATGTTTTAGTGATGTTGTGTGAATTGGTTAATTAATTTTATAGATTTTTAAGGTTGCACTGCATTTCAATTATGTTGTATGTTTTAATTATGTTGTATGTTTTAATCATGTTGTAACCCGCCCTGAGCCTGTTGTACAGGGGAGAGCAGGCTAATAAATAAATAAATATATTCAAAGAATAGCACCTGCTAACAAATTTGTCTGACACGTTCATTCCTCACTCCTCCAAAGATCGCAGGGAGATGCATGTACTTCTCCCACTGGATCATCACAACAATCCTGTGAGGTCCCTGACCTGGACAGCCCAGGCAAGCCTGATCTCGTCAGATCTCAGGAGTTAAGCAGGGTCGACTCTGGCAAGCACTTGGATGGGAGACCTCCTTGGAATACCAGCAGTCGGGAGGTGGGGGCAGGCTTTATTCAGCCACCTCCCTGAATACCCCCCAGGCCCCCAGTAGGGGTCAGTCACCAGAGGTCACCATGACTTCCAGGTGCACGCACACTCACACGCGTGTGCGCACACACAAATACCAAAACAACAACAATCCTGTGGGGTAGGCTAGGCTGAGAGAGGGGGGCTAGCTGAGCTGCCTAAGATCGCCCAGCAAGATGCACAGCCTACTAGCGATCTGAATTCCCATCTCCCTGGTCTTCACTTCTGCTTAGGGAGGTATCACAATTATTTATTTATTTATTTTAATTGAAAACATTTATATTCCGCTTAAATGCAGTGTTCTTTAGCCCGTTCATGAGCAGTTGTCCATCACTTCTGAACAAGAACGAGAAAATGAGACCTGACTCCAGCTCCTCCCCAGCCCCCTGGGGTGGGGGGCCAAGCAAAGCAAGAAAAATGTAGATACTCACGTATTTCCAGCCCAACGTGGTTTTGCAGTTTTCACAGTAAATGTCGGCGACCGCATGTAGACCTGTTAGCAGAACCCGTTCCTCTGCAGGGCCGCAACCCACATTAACTCTGCAAATTGGGGGGTGGGGAGAAGAGAAGAGAGAGACAACTTAGTTCCAAAGGGACATTTGCAGATCTGGAAAAAGTGCAGGAGCCAAACACTCAAGCACCTTCCCTATGAGCAGAGGCTGAAAAGTCTGGGGCTTTTAAAGGACAACTGTAGGAGGGAAGGGGCGAGAAATGAGAGCTTGTAAAAATGAGGGATGGCTTGATGAAACCGGAGAGAATTTTTCTTCCTCTCTCAGAATACTGGGACTTTGAAGGTGAGTAATCAAGTAGATTGGCAGTTGACTTAGGGTTGGCCAAAGGAAGCTCTTTGCCCAAGAAACAAATTACCCAATAGAATTAATTTTAACTTTTAAAGGGGATTAGACAAATGCTTGGGGGGAAAGTCTACTGATGAGTGACTATGAGCCCCAACAGCTAAGTGGAACCTCCAGGCTCAGAGGCAGTGTACTTGTACATTCAAGAGATGACTTTGGCTGCCACAAGCTACCTGCAGATCTTCCAAGGGTATCTACATAACCACTGTGGGAGTAAGGACTTTTTATCTGATCCAGCGGGGAAATCACGCTTCCAGATCTCATTCCCCGGCAATCTCTACGCTGCATTTGTCAGAAACTATTCTTGAATTTTATCCCACTCTCCAAAGTTCATCTGATGGAACTTGTCTGATGCGCCACTGGTGGGAAAGTTAGTGTGGTAGGCTGAACACTAGACTTAAAGCACATCTCCATAGTACAAATACTACATGAAACGTTGACCTTTTCTGCACACTGAAGTTACTCCTGATTTTCTTGGGAGTTGATCCACAAGCATTGGAATCAAATTGGGCAGGGTTCTTCTGCACACCTGGCCTGCCTGTGCATTTTTACAGTTGTAGAGACAGTTTATTTTCTACCACACATGGCTTAAATAATGAGGATTTGCAAGGGAGGATCCAGTCATTATTGGTGGCATCACAGCACCCCCCCTTATTTTTTAAAAAATAGCTCTAAAATATCAATATATTATAGTTTAAGCAGGCTTTCTGAATTCCCAGCTCTCATTTAAAAAAGTCTCTAGACCCTTTCCTAGTGGGGATATGCTCTTTTCCTTATCTCTCTGCAACAGAGAAGGTTTAGAGAATCACTTTTGTTAAAATGAAAGCTGGGAATTCAGAGAACTTGCTTAAACTATCATTACAACACTACAGCGTTATATCGATATTTTAGGGCCTTTGGAAAAAACCTGAAATCACGGGGGGGGGAGTGGTTTAATGATGGCAATAGTCCAATCACTGAAAAGTGGGCTGGAGGTGGGTGGGTAGGAGTGGGTGGGACAAAGAAAACCAACAGAAACATTAACGGACTAGGAAAAAGCGGACTCAAAACCAGCTTCCCAAAAAAGATCAGGGTAAAAGTTGTCTCTAAAGAGCCTGGGGGGGGGGGGGGCACACAAAAAGCGTGGGGGGGGGGGGGGACACACAAAAAAACTGAAGTGAAAAATAAAGGCACACAAACTCATGCAGAAATCAGGGGATAAACCAAAGCAGGATAGGACCAGAACCAAAGGGAAAAACCCATGCAGAAAAGTTCAGTACGTGTTTGCTGCAAACATATAACTTGTGGCTGCCAAATGACTGTACATACATCTTTAAATATGAGTGTGTCTAAGGACCAGGGTACTGTGAACTATACATGTACCAAGTTTTTGGCTTTCTAGCCTAATAATTTTGATTACCCATGATTACTGACAGCAAATCCCAGCAATGTGATCTCTGTGGTTATATTGGAAAACCTGGAAGCCATGATCCAGTATTAGTTTATGTATTCAGTTGCCCTGTTTCTCTCCAGGGTATTCCCAGGGCTTGCACATGTAGAAAAAGGGCACCAGGACAGGAGAATCTGAGCTCTCATTTTTCAAAAATCAAGGTTCTAGTCCATAAGACTGTAAGTAAAAATAATACTTATTGATACTTGAAAGCAAGTGTGAAGTCAGAGGAGATATTACACAAGATTTCCATTGCACTGGGGTGGGGGGAGGGGGGTAAGTTTCAGTCTCTGCCATTGGCTATTGCCCCTCTCCCTAACAAGCAGGATTTAAACTTACTTTGCATAACAATTGTAAAATGAGTTTTACTTCGCAAAATTTATCCAGGTTGCAGAACACAGTATTACACGTCAAGTAACTTTAGCCCAGAATTGCATTGACTTGGAAGGAAGGAGGACAGGCCGGAAATACAGAACCCCATATCCTTGGTAACGGAAAAGCTACAGTGATGTTTTACCAAAAAAAAAACCACACTCACACTGAATTGAAGAGGTACGCCCGCCCTTGGCTTCCTTGGAAAGACTGCAAGGCAAGCAAAAAAATAAAAATAAAAAAATCAATAAGGATGGTACCGTAGAAAACCACCTGGCCCAAAAAAGACTCAATACCGTCCCCGGATATTGCAGGCCACGACTTTAGTAGTGCAGATAGCAGCCTTGTGGGGAGCCTTTAGCGAAGTGCACACACTGGGCCCAGAAGCAGCGAGCCAGGCACCCTACAAATTCTCTCTCCCTTCGATCTCCTCGCTCCACGCAAAGTGAGACTGGCACTACTGTTGGGTGGGCGGTGGGTCCTTGCCAGCAGAGAAGGGCAGGAAAAGCCCCACCTTGCTACCCTTTGGAGCCAGCCCTGAAGGGAAGAATTCTGGAAATGAATACGAGTGCTCAAGGCCTGCAGTGGGTAGACCAGAGAACGCACCGAGGAGAACACCAGGAGAAGGCAGAAACGGAGGAGGCCAAGACCTGGCACAGTGCAAGGAGGAAACCAAGGAAGAGGACGAAGGACAGTCTGGAAGGGGAGAGAGGCTGTTCAGTCACACTGGGCAGTTGTGCTGGAAGAAAAATCAGCCAGTTTTTCCACAGTTCTTGGACGACACCTCACCCGTAACACACCTTCCAGATTTCCTGACGCTTTTGCACAGACCTTGTCCGGAAAATAAACTCAAGAGTCTCCCAAAAGGTTGGGACGCCACCTACTTCCTGCAAATTTGGCTCACCTGTGTCACCCACATCTGGCCTCCATTTCCAGCTGCCAGACACACCCTGTGGCAGCTAACTGCCCCCCCCCAGACACAAAACCCCATCTCTAATAGCCACTGTTTTGATTTGTGAATCCCATTCTATAACACTCAGATGCAAGAGTGAAGGAGGACACAGCCAGCCTCCCTCCCTCCCCTGATGCTTTTCAAAAAAGCATTTGGTTTGCATTAAAGTTCTGGCGGGGAAAATTTCCATGTCACGCATAGGATTCTGAAAGGCCCACCCACTCTTTGAGAAATACGTTCGAAGCAGGACAGAGTAAATCAGATGATGGGAAACATCAGCTCCCTGGCCTAGCAATTCTGGCCTTTCTCAAAGCAGCCCAAGGAGAGGAGGAGGACTGGTTTTGAATTTTCCCATCCAAAAGGCTAAGAATATTTCTCTGCTGCTAATGGGAAGGAATCTACCAAGGCACTTCCAAAAGAACGGCTGCTTTGACTCCTAGACTCAAACAGACCAGCGTTATAAACCCAGGTATGCAATACATCCACAGACTTCCTAGTCCACAGGAAACAAAATGCACGTGGCGCGCGTACCTGCCTATATTCACCAATAGCAGTCTTAAATCTTTCTTAGATACTTTAACCCCCAAACACAGAGTTGCCAACTGCAGGCTGAGAAACTCCTGGAGATTTGGTGGGTTTGGAGAAGGGAAAGACTTACAAGTCCACCCTCCAAAGCAGCTGTCTTCTCCAGGGAAATCAATCTCTAAAGTCGGGAGATCAGTTATGATTCTGGCATTACCTGGAGGTTGGTAGCCATACCCAAGCAACAGCATGGAACCCAATGAGCCACAAGCAGGGTCAATTCAGGGCCAAGAGTCAACTTGGGGCCGCATGACAACACAGGTCCTGGCTTCTTGGCCCATCGGTCCCTTTCTGCCTAGCTAGCCATCCCCTCTTCCATCTTGCAGGTAACTGGAGAGAGACTTAGTTACCTGTGGAAAGTACCACCCTGGTGGTGGAGAAAAAGCAAGGTCAAGTCGCAGCCGACTTACGACAACCCTTCAAGGGGTTTTCGAAGCAAGACACAAACAGGGGTGATTTGCCATTGCTGGCCTCTGTGCCATGACCCTGGACTTCCTTGGTGGTCTCCCATCCAAATACTAACCAGGGTCGGCCCCGCTTAGTTTCCAAGATCTAACAAGACCAGGTAGCCGGGGCCATCTAGGCCAATGATACATTAGTAATACTCCCTGTCCTTCTTTATCAGGGACTGTCCCTTTGGTGACTGTTGGGAGGCCAACCCTGCTTAGCTTCCAAGACCTGACAAGAGATTGTCAGGTTAGGGCTCCACTCCCCCCTAACTCCACACCCATCAATTAGGGTTGCCAGGTCCCCCAGGCCACCGGCGGGAGATGGGGGGGGGGGAAGGTTGCCAGATTCAGATTGGGAAACTCCTGAAGATTTTGGGACAGAGCCTGGGGAGGACAGGGACCTCAGTGGGGTCCAGTGCCATCAAATCCACCCTCCAAACCATCTGTTTTCTCCAGGGGAACTGATCTCTGTAGTCTGGAGATGAGCTGCAATTCTGGAGGATTCCCAGGTCCCACCTGTAGGCTGGCATCCCTACCATCAATACAGAGAGCTTTCCCAAGATGGATGTGAGCTTGAACCAACCCTCTCAACAAAACATGTGGCAGGAAGTCAAGTGATGTCACAGTCTCATAGGACAGGAAGAGAAGGAGCCAGAGTACCTGAACCTGCCAGTACTAAAAAGGAATTGTCTCAGCTGCCAAGAGACTTTGCTCTGGTCCTCTGAACTTGCATCCAGTAAGAGAATGGAGGGATGGGGTACTAGCACTAGGTCCTTCTCCCCCCCTCCCAACAGCCACAAATTGGGATTTCTGTAAGGGCTTGCTATCCAGCAGGTGGGACTCACTGGACTACCCCCCCCCCAAGGTCCTACCCCATAGGTTGAACTCTGTTGCTCTAACAGAACTTCTCCCCCTACCCGTTTTTCTAAAGAAACTTTATTATGGGGCAGCTCCAGCTTTCAACAATTTCTAGAACAACAATATCTTCTCCTTAACAACCTTGCTCATGTCTTGCAAACCGAGGGCCTTCGTGGCTTCCTTGACTGGGCCAATCCATCTCATGTTGAGTCTTCCCCTTTTCCCAGTTCCTTCAACTTTCATAGCATGATTGTCTTTTCCAGCAAGTGTTGTCTCCTCATAATGTGACCATATGATAGCTTCAGCTTAAGTCATTTCAGCTTCTAGGGAGAGCTCAGGCTTGATTTGTTCCAGAACCCACTGATGTGTCTTTTTGGAGGTCCACGGTATCTGTAAAACTCTCCTCCAACACCATGTTACAAAGGAATTTACTTTCTTCCGGTCAGCTTTCTTCATTGTCCAGCCTTTACACCCATACCTAGTACAGGGGAATACTATGATATGAATTATTGATCTTGGTCGCCAGCAGCACATCCTTACACTTAAGGGTCTTTTCTTCCTCCCCTTGCATACCTCCATGGTACCGTATATCGCTAATCTGACAATCCCAGTTTTTAGGAGGGTTTTTATGCTTGCAAGGTTCAACCTTTCCCCCTCAGTAGTGGCCTCCGGTAGATACAGCGGTGTTCCGTACAAGGATAGACTTTGTAACTGTAATCTTGGGGAACCTGATTCTATCACCCATATTCTCTTTCGTTGTCCTAAATATTTCGCTATGCGCAATGTTTTGATTCGCCCGCTTCTCCCTTTGCAGAGAGATTTTCTGGACAGGGATTTAAATTTCTTTCTAGCAGACAAGAGTCCAGCAATAACAATATCTGTCGCTGAATTTTTGACTTATGTATGGAAGTCAAGAGTAGTACTTTGTAAATCTTGTAAACCATGTTAGGATTGCTTTGTATTTTGAGATATTGGGAATATTGGTTGACGTTGTTTTAGTACTACCCCTTACATTTTTCCTTTGTTCTGGTTTATCTATGTTATGCCAATAAAGGGTTTTCTGTTCTGGGTCTTTTCTAGCTCCTTCATGGCTGTCCTAATTTCTTGGTTGCAGTCTCCCTTTTGGTTGATGATGAAGCCAAGGAACAGAACATATTTAATAATTTCAGTTTCTTCACTGTCATCCTTAAAGTTGTGTTATTCCTCAGTAGTCGTTACTTTTGTCTTTTTTGATGTTCAACTGTAATCTTGCTTTGGGGCACTTCCTGCTTTAACCTTCATCAGTAGTCATTTCAAGTCTTCACTGTTTTCTGCAAGAGATGTGGTATCATCTGCATAACTCCAATTGTTAATGCTTTTCACTCCACCTTCATCTAAATCTAATCTAATGTTCCTTATGATATGTTTTGCATATAGGTTGAACAGGTAGGGAAGTAAAATGCATCCTTGCCTGACACCCTGCCAATTGGAAACCATGGTGTTTCTCCAAAGTCTGTCCTAATGGTAGCCTCTTGTCCAGAGTATAGGTTGTACATCAGAACAATCAGATGTTGTGGCAGACCCATTTCTTTTAAAACCAGCCACAACTTGTCATGATCCACATAGTCAAAAGCTTTGCTGTAATCGATGAAACACACAAGCTTATTCTGAAATTCTCTCATATGCTCTAGCAACCAATGTAAATTTACAATGTGCTGTCTCATGTCTCTTTCTTTTCTGAATCCAGCTTGAACATTTAGCATTTCTCATTACATATATGGTTAACAGTCATTGTTGTAAGAATTTGAGCTTCATTTTACTTGTGTGAGAAATTAATGCAATGATCTCACAGTTGCTACAGTCTTTTACATCCCCCTTTTTTGAAATTGGAATTTTTACGGAATTCAGCATTTCCAGTCTGTGGGCCATTGTTTTGTTTTCCATATCTGTTGGCACATTCTTGTTAAGATTTTGATGGACTCAGTTTCTGTGGCTTGAAATAGCTCTATTGATACCCCATCTACTCCTGGTGATTTGTTTCTCCCAATTTCTTTCAGTGCAGCTTTCACTTCACTTTCTAAAACTGTAGGATTTTCTTCAAAAGATTCTTATTTGAAGGAATCTGTCATCCTTCCACCTCTTCTATATAGTTCTTCAGTATGTTGTTCCCATCTTTTCTTTATTTTGTCCTGTTCAGTTAATGTAGTTCCATGTTGATCTTTCAGCCAGTTTGGTGTAGTGTTTAAGTGTGCAGACTCTAATCTGGGGAGAACTGGGTTTGATTCCCCACTTGCAGCTGCTGGATGACCTTGGTCAAGCCATAGTACTGTCAGAGCTGTCCTTGAAAGAGCAGTTCTCAAAAGAGCTCTCTCAGCCCCACCTGCCTCACA